TCTGAGGTCTATATGGGAAGCTAACAGGATTCACGTACATGGGTTATATTGCATAGCCAAAGTAAGTCCTTAAAAGGATGAGAAGAGGTAAAGAAAAGTAGAGATTTCATGGAGAAATGAGGCACTGAAAAACAACAACACCTTTTTGTCTTGATGCCTATAGTAAACAAGGTATCTGAATGTGTGTGGCATCTCACCTGATGCAAGAGAAGAATGTACTGGAAGCATCTCTGAGTCTTTTTGGATTGCATCATCTTTACACCGTCGTCCAAATATCAACAAGCCATCCTGGATTTTACAATCATGATTCTTGGATAATATCACACCTGTGAGATTATTTGTCACCTAATCTTCCCCAGAATGGAGTTTCAGAATACAAATACCATTATTCTCTGCTTTTAAGTCAGTGCTACTTATAGGATAACACAACTCTAGACTTGAGGCAGAGGAGACTAATCTTTCTTAACAATTTGTTTATGAGAAAATAATGAGGGTTTATGTAGGTGTTTGTGTTGCAAATTAAATGACCCTTATCTGACTCAGAATGCCTATATAAGTTTGAATGTTTTACCCAGACATAGGAATCTGGTGATCTGTGCGACATGAACACTCCTTTTTAAAAAATCAGGTAAGAATAAAAGATACTGACATGCTGGAGTAAGTAACTTATTTTAGTGCGAGAAATCATTGATGTACAATAGTAATGAGAATAAGACAGGCAGTGGGTTTGGCGTATCTTCCAAAGAGTCATGTGAATTTGTCATCTGCTTCTACTCCACCAGTCAAATAGAAGTTTTTTGTAATGGCTCCAAATACATTCAGGTCTCAAGTTGTCCCAGCTGAGAAAACACATAAGCCAAATATCCCAGATATTACTTCTCCCTGGAAGAATGTGATAAGAACCACAGAGTGAGTTCTTAATCTCTGTTTATTGCTAGAAACTGGATCTTACAAAATTACCCATTTTCCCATCGTAACTCTTTCATTAAAACTGATAGATCTAGCAATAATTAATTTATCCAGTTTCTAGGTGCTGTGATAAAGGCTTCATATATTTTTGTCTTTGTCACATATCTTCACAACTAATTCATTCTACTTCAGAGTAAAATCATTATGAGAGATGAAAGTATTCAGGTTTCAAAATATCAGGCCGGTTAAAGTAAAGTTACATACTCATAGCTTAAAGAAATAGCATTCAAATTAACTCTCTTGGGCTGTTTTATACTATTGTTCTAATTTGTTTTTGATAACTTCATATACTAACACTGAATCTGAATCACCCCACCTCTCCCTTACCCTTCAGCTCCTCCTGTCTTCCCCCTCTCCTTCCCAAAGTCTTGATACATATATGGACATATATTTATTTAAATATGTATAAAGTTGACTGAGCCCATATATGTGCAGTGTCCTGACTTCACTACTAGGGATTTGCAAAACAAGGCAGGAGCTTCTCACTGGAAGAAAATTGTTCTCCCTTCTTGGGAGCTATTGGCTACCTGTAGCTCTTCATTTTAGGAGCAAGACCATGAGGAATTCTGCCAATCTATTTTGGCAGTCAATTGATGTTGTCATTATATTCTGTTCTTGTTTAGGCAAGCATACTGTTGAGATTCCACAGGTACATTTTTTCTGTTGTGTCTAGGGAGCGAGGCCCTAGAACCCCTGCTTCTACAATCTTCCCACTGTGATTTTTCACTGAGCCTTAGCTATAGAGTACATTGCAATTGTATCAGTTAAGGCTGGGAAATCTCAACATAACAAATCCAAGGCCAACATCATCCTAAGTGAAGGAAAAACAAACTCTCCTAAAATCAGGAGAGACACAGGCCTGCCCTCTCTCCTTGCTTCTTTTCAGTGTTGTGCTTGAAGCCCTACGTAGAGCAATAAGACAAAGGAAGAAAATTAAATGAATACAAATAAACATAGTTTTATTTGAACATTCTTAGATTTTCTTTTCCTTTTTGAAATTTGTAATTTTGTCTTTCACTTCTTCTTAATTTGCTGCATGAAATTTAATTGTCTGTGCTGTTGCTATGTTACTCACTATTCCTTAAGGGATAGCTCTCTGTGGCTCTCTGATGTCTAAGGTTTGTTGTCTGGCATATTTTTCTGGCTGCTCTAAGAGACCTCTGTGAACAGTTTGTAGCTGAAAATAAGAAAAAGAAAGTCTGCACATTTCAAGTATGATTGTTTAAACTTAAAGTTGATAAATTTTATTTTTATAATATTTTCCAAAACACCACCAAAACTGTGTAATATTTTAAAGAGAAAATAATATAAAATGACAGTGGAATATGTAAAATCCATTATGTACTATTGAGAGTTTTATGCTCTTACCAAATAGGAATTTGAAGAAAAATCTTTTATATATTTAGGGTAATATATTATATACAATTATATATCATAGTATTACATATGTAAGTAAGAAATCTACATGTGTAAATTTAACTAATAAATTTGAAATAACAAACTTTTTAAACTAAATGTTGTATTCAGATGTTTCTTTGAATCAAGTATTCATGGAGCCTAAGTAATGTAAAATAAATTATTAGAAATTAATAAGTAATTTTATATAGCCAAGTTGCACTTTTGTTATTAAACCAGACAGATTTGATGACTTCTTTTCCACTTACGGAAATTCACATCCACAAATTAATACCTGCAAGCATCCACAAATATAATTTACTTGCATGTTTTGAATTTGCAATTATGAAATATTTTGGTAGTATCTGGAACTAGGGAACAAATATATCAGATGCCTAAAGCAATGCTTATAAAGATAAACTCTTTACCATCCAAGTATTATTTTCAAACAAACAAATGTATGCATCCATGGTTAACTGAATGCAACATTTCTTCATTAGAGAGTAATAAAATCAGTTTATTGTCCAGCAGGACTCTTGGAAAATTTCCTGTTCTAAATTTGGCACTGTGAATAATATTCTTTACAGAAAGAAATATGAGATATTTCAAACTGTCCTCTGGCTCCTTTTTAATCAAAACTGAATTGGCTGTAAAAGCACTACAGCTGTCTCCAAATTGGATCTGTCTCTGCTAAGATTATGAAAATGACAATTTTTTTTTGACAATTCTGACAGTGAATCTTTCCCAAGTTTCTTGTGCTCTCCCTTCCTGATCCTTTAGTGACTGGAGGGCTTGGAACTGATTCAGAAGCAACTGATTATGAATGTCCCTTCTTCCCCTTTCCTGTTTATCCCCTTCATCATCTCATTTGTTCTCGTGGCTTTCTTTAGTGGCCTACTCATGAATCTAACATCCCACCATTATGTGATTGCCTTTGTTAGGTGTAGATGCATTCAGAATTGCAAGTGTTTTCTCCAAATCTGTTTTCACCCATGTCTGAAGCTAGATCACTAAATTAATCATGGGACCTTTTAATCTACTAACTTTGGGCAAATCAGTAGCCAGAAGAAATCAGGAAACAACCTTGAAACCTGCCACAGAGGGCCTCTGAAATCCTCTGCAGTATAGACTGTCAAAGCAGATGCTGAGCCTGATGGCCAACTGATGGGCAGAGTAAATGGAATTTTATGTAAGAAGTGGGAAATAGTAAGAGCTGGAGGGAACGGGAACTCCACAAGCAGAGCAACAGAACAAGATAATTTGAACACAGGGAACTTCCCAGAGACTCATACTCCAACCAAGGACTATTCATGGAGATGACCTGGAACCCCTGCACAGATGTAGCCAATGGCAGTTCAGTGTCCAAGTGGGTTACATAGTAATGGGAAGAGGGACTGCCTCTGACATAATCTGATTGGCCTGCTCTTTGATCACTTACCCCTGAGGGGGGAGCAGCCTTATCAGGCCACAGTAGAGGACAATGCGGCCACTTCTGATGAGAACTGATAGACTAAGATCAGAAAGAAGGAGAGGAGAACCTCCCCTATCAGTGGACTTGGGGAGGGGCATGCATGCAGAAAGGGGAGGGAGGGTGGGATCGAGAGGGGAGGAGGGAGGGCCTTATGGGGGGGTACAAAATGAATAAAGTGTAATTAATAAAAAATTAAAAAAAATATTATGTCATTGCTCTGAGGGCAGCAGGCCTCAGGGTAGCTCTGCAGAGATTGATAACTCACAAAGCAATTCAACAAGTTAGTTCTGTTGTCCTTTGCTTACACCCAAGAAAAGTGAGACTGAGAGGATCCAGACAATTCTCATAACCTTCAAAGGATACAATGGTTTCAGTTGCTGCTTACTCTACTCCTGGGCTCCTCATACTTAATCTCTTACACAGAGTGCTTAAAACAGACTCTGTTTCAACAGCCTTCAAGAAATTGTGTTTTGAACTGTTTTTGAAAAGTACTATATGAAGGACAAAGAGAATTGCTTCTAACAAAGAGGAAGGAAAGTAAAAGAAACAAAAATGTCCTTTATGTGTGTACTAACCACTCCATGACCCAGCCAATCTAAAACTTCTACAAGTAGTTGTTGGAGGAAATCTCCAATAAGTGGAAGTCGTTTTCAGTTTTCTTCCTAAAAGTGAATGATGCTGGTGCGGCAGTGTGTGACAGATGATTTTATAACCATAATCCAAGCTAAATAACTTTACATCTTGGTTTTAGGATATGCAATGAAACTCAATTTTAGTTCTCAATGAAATGAAAGAGACAACATCTGACATACAATATTGGAGGGTTTTAATAAGACCATATATCCAGAAATGCCTTATAATGAAGACACATATTGATTTCATAAAGTGAGATCTGGCCTCACAGAATACACACACACATTTCTTTTAGCTTCTTTTCATTATATTTGGACTAGATTTCTTTTCTACCCAAATCCTGTTGATTTATCTGAAGTTTGTAACTCTCTTCCTAACTTCCCTAACAATTGAATGGCTATAACTAGACTATAATAATATCCAATATTATTTTACCTGAAATCTAAATATATTAAAACCGAAATAGATTGAATTTTTCTTTTTTTCATTTTAAAAGAGCCACAATAGACAGTTATCCACAGTGGATGTCATCATGTTTAAGAAGTTTTTACAGCTGTTTGTTTTTCATTTGGCTCTGACTGAAATTGTTCTCAGCGGGAATGTGCTAATTTGGCCTACAGACTGCAGCCATTGGTTAAATATTAAGATCCTTCTTGAAGAGCTGATTCAAAGAAATCACAGTGTGACTGTACTGACTTCATCAACAACTTTATTCATCAACTCCACTCCTGATGCCTTCTTGCATTTTGAAGAGATTCCGGTTTCCTATAAAAAAAGCAACTTAGAGGAAATAATTGAGCATATGATCGCACTGTGGCTAAACCACAGACCGACACCTCTCACAATGTGGACTTTCTACAAAGAACTGGGAAAGCTCTTTGATGCCTTCTACAAAATTAATACGCAAATCTGTGATGGTGTGTTAAACAAACCCACGCTAATGGCAAAACTTCAAAAGGCTAGCTTCGATGTGTTGATAGCTGATCCAGTAACCATCTGTGGAGACCTGGTGGCCCTGAAATTGGGAATTCCGTTTGTGTACACAATGCGCTTCTCTCCAGCCTTTACAGTGGAGAGGCACTGTGGGAAAATTCCTTCACTGTTCTCTTACGTACCTGCAGCCTTGTCAGAGCTCAGTGACCAGATGTCCTTTGGTGAAAGGGTTAAGAACACCCTATCTTATTCTCTACAAGACTTTATATTTAAGTCCTACTGGGGAGGATGGAATTCCTACTACAGCAGAGTTCTGGGTGAGTCTCAGGGTTTCCCCTGTTGATGACCTCAGATAACTTCACTCTTATTCATTCAGCTAAAGTTATCCACC